AAGTCACTGGTCAGATGTCTGGTCTCCATTATTCCCCAAACTTAACATATACCTTAAAAAGTTACATCAAGAAACACACCTGAGATAAACAGAAAAGCACCCCAGACTGCACCCCCTAAAAAAGGAAGGTGAGTATTGGTGATACGAGATGCTATTCTCAAAGGAATAGGACCAGCCATCTGCAGACCAGCCATGCTATCTAGGGAGGTATGTTGTCTCCATGGAGCAAAAATCATTATGTGGCTGAGAACCTAACCAAAATAATTAGGCCCACAGATTACTACCCTTTCCTCCTCTTTCACATTGGGAAAAGACACACAATAAAGAATCTAAGTACAATATTGACAGATTATAAGCAATTAGGCAATAAAATTAATGAGCTAGGAGCACAAGTAGTGCTCATCAGTACTCCCAACAAAAGGTCAACACATGAGAGTAGGTATGATGAAGTTGCCATTACAGAAACCTGGTGGGATGAAACCCATGACTGGAATGTACTGATGGATGGATACAACTTGTTCAAAAGAAACAGATCAATAAAAAGAGGAGGTGGAGTTACACTAGATGTGAAAAGACAACTGCCTATCTACAGAAATGTACATGATCAAAGATAAAACCCTCCAGAATGTATATGGGTCAATATAAAAGGGGGAAAAGTGACATTGCCTTAGGTGTATATTGCAGGCCAACCAACCAATCAGAAAAAATAGATGAACTTTTTGCCAACCAGCATGTAGGAAGCATACCACAGTAGTAATGGAAGGCTGTAACTATCCAGATATAAATTGGAAGACAAACTTTGCAGTGAGTGGGAGATCAAACAGATTCCTAACCAACTTAGCCGACAACTATATCATCCAAAAGATAGAGGAGGGAACTAAAAATAAAGCTATATTGGTCCTAATTCTTACTAATAGAGAAGAAGTGATAGAGGGAGTAGAAATTGCTGGAATTTTGGATGAAAGTAACCATGACATACTGGAATTCAATATAATGTAAGCATAAGCAATAGAAAATAATTCAATCAGTGTCTTAAACTTTAAAAACTTTAAAAGAGCTGATTTTAACAAACTCAGAGAGCCTGAGAAAGATTCCATGGATGAAAATCCTAAAGGGATTTTCCTGACAGATTACACCTCAGAATTCTGAAGGAGCTGGCAGATGTTATCTTAGAACCACTATACCATATCTTTCAGAAAACCTGGAGCAAAAGGGCTCATGTGGTTCCCATCTTCAAGAAAGAAAAAAAACAGACCCAGGAAACCAGAGACTAATTGTACTACAACCACACAACCACACAAACAAACAAAAACACACAAGTAAGCAGTGGGGTACCACAAGGCTCCGTCTTAGGCCCCATTCAATATCTTCATAAATGACTTAGATGAGGGAATAAAAGGGGAATTCGTCAAATTTGCAGATGATACTAAACTGGCAGGAAAAGCCAACACCCCAGAAGACAAGCTCAGCATCCAAAAAGATCTTGACAAACTTGAACAATCGGCCTTATCCAACAAAATGAATTTTAATGTGGAGAAAAGCAAAGTTTTACATTTAGGCAGGAAAAATCAAAGGTATAATAAGTACAGATTAGGCGAGACCTGGCTCAAAAACAGTAACTGTGAGAGGGACCTTGGAGTCCTAGTGGATGATCACTTGAATATGAGCCAGCGGTGTGTAGCAGTAGCCAAAAAAGCTAATACAATCCTGGGTTGTATAAACAGAGGCATAGAATCAAGAGCATGTGAAATATTAGTTTTGCTTTATAAAATCTTAGAAAGACCACACCTGGAATACTGCAACCAATTTTGGTCACCATACTACAAAAAAGATATTGAGACTTTGGAAAAAGTTCAAAGAAGATAAACTAAGATGAGTTATAAAATAAGCCTGGAGACTAAACCATATGAAGAATGGCTGCAGGTTTTGGAAAAGAAGAGGGGGTCAAATTATTCTACGAAGCACCAGAGGGCAGGACAAGAAATAATGTTGGAAACTAATCAAAGACAGAAGCAATTTGGAATTAAGGAGAAATGTCCTAGCAGTGAGGACAATTAACCAGTGGAACAGCTTGCCTTCAAAAATTGTTGGCGCTCCATCACTGGAGGTTTAAAGAAGACAGTCAATTGTATGAAATGGTATAGGTTCTCCTGCTTGAGCAGGAGGCTGGACTAGAAGACCAAGATCCCTTCTAGCTCTATTCTATTCTAAATCATCATCATCATCATCATCATCATCATCATCATCATCATCATCATCCTACCTATGAATAGGGTACCTACTTATTCCTACCTATGAATCTTATGCCATCTAAACCAGGGGTCGCCAACCTTTTGGACCTCAGGGACCACCAAACTCATAATTTTAAATCCCAGGGACCACTAACAGGCTTTGTGGGCATGGCTTAATTTGTGGGTGTGGCTGGTGGTCATGTAACTGGCTGGGCATGGCTTGTATGTAAATATTATAAATATTTATATAAATATTGAATTTTTTATTTAAAAAAGAGCAACTTTTACCCAAAATCAGGCAAAGCAGGCAGGCAGATTGAGTTGCTCACAGAATCATTCAGAGATCTATCTATCTGCCTTTCTGGGGGGCATGTGACCTTTCCTTAAATCTGGATGATTTCCTTAGGATATCTTGTGAGGTGAGTGAGATCAGCTGGTATCTTTAAATGGTGCAAATGGATCTAAGGATTGCTTTTCCTGGGTGTGCTTTTTCTGGAGAGCTTAAATGACCTCTCTGCTAAAGGGTTTCACTTTATGAGCAAGAGATGGCTGCTTGATAGTTATCACTGCATTTTAACTATTTTCATTCCTCAAGGTGTTCTGGCACCTTGCCTGATTTGTAACTCCGGCTTGCACGTATTTTTAATCTAATGATTGGTATTTAGGACAACTTTTTGCAAGCATTTTGTATTTTTGTACAGGTAAACCTTGTCTTACAACAGTTCATTTAGTGACCATTCAAAGTTACAATGGCACTGAAAAAAGTGACTTATTACCATTTTTCACACTTATGACCGTTGCAGCATCCCCACTGTCATGAGAAGCCAGGCAAGGAGAAGCGCCCCTGAACATGAGTGATGCGAGTTGGCCATGTCCACCCAGTCATATGACCACCAGCCACACCCACCAATTAAGCCACGCCCACATAACTGGTTGTTAAAAATATTGAATCCCACCCTGGGACCCATCACACGCCCGTTGCCTGCACTGCCACTACTTTTGCTCTCGTTCTCAGCTTCTTCCATAGGGGTGCTCTTAAAGTTGATCTTTAAGAGCTGGAAGATGTTTCGTTAGATCACCGCCAACTCATCGTTGGGAGAGGTGTAGTCCCTGAATACATGAGAAGTCTTGGGCAAAGTTCTCTGACTTTTAAATGCATCTGCACGGTGTCTGCCTTCCTTCACGCTCCTTGTGCACGCTGGGAGTACGTAACTGGAGCGAGAGAGAGCGAAGTTGGCTGCTATGAGGTGAGTGCCTTGGCTTCCCCTCTTGCTGCTCACAGTAGCCCTGAGCTGGTGTGGTTCTTTACTTGGGCAGCCAGACGGCCACAGCAGGGCCTGCAGCAGCAACAGGCAGTGCCGCAACAACCAGGTACAGTAAGATTTGGCAGTGCAAATTTATCTCCGAGGAGCTTCTGGGAAAAACAAACAAATCACCCCAAAACAAAACCCATTCAGCAAGCAGACTTGGCAGGCAGTCATGATCTTTAGTTGGACTTTTTTTTGTCAGCCCAAGGGTGGAGGAGGAGGAGGAGGGAGAAGGTACATAGGAAATCATGTGACTGAGTGGGCGTGGCCAACTCAATGTCACTTGCAGCAAGGTGTCACACCACCTTGCCAAGTTGGCCACACCCACCCAGTCACATAACCATCAAACCACACCCATCAAACAAGCCATGCCCACAGAACTGGTAGTAAAAAAATTTGAATCCCACCACTGCTACAGTGCTTTCAGTCTATCCTGACATCAGCTGAGTCACCTCCATTATCTTTGAGAACTAAACAACCTTCACACAAGAATTCTAACAATGTCTTACCCATAAAACCAATGCATCCTGGAGTCAACAATGTGCCACTCCAAGCTATGGTTTGAAAAGAACTGTGCTAATGCCAAAAAATTCTTGGTATATATTCAATATTATATTCAATAGCAATATCCCACCAGTGTCTTAAACTTTAAAAGAGCTGATTTTAATAGAGAGAGCCTAAGAAAAATTCCATGGATAAAAATCCTAAAGGGGAAAATAACTCAAGAAGCATGGGAAATACTGAAAAATATTGTCATAGAAGCCCATTCCAACACAATATCACTGAAAAAGAAAAAACAAATCCAAGAAGAAACCAGCATGGCTATACAAAGATCTCTCTAATAAACTGAAAGACAAAAAGGACAAGTACAAAAAATGGAAAGAATTAATTAACATAATTAACTTAATTAACATAATTAAGGCAAAATATCAGCAGATAGCTGATATCAGCAAAATCTATCCCAGAGTTCTGAAGGAGCTGGCAGATGTTATCTCAGAACCAGTGGTGGGATTCAATTTTTTTTACTACCAGTTCTGTGGGCGTGGCATGGTGGGCATGGCTTGGTAAGGATACTGCAAAATCCCCATTCCCTCCCAGCTCCAGGGGAAGGATACTGTAAAATGCCTATTCTCTCCCCACCCCACTAACCTGCTTTCCAGCTCTATTCTCTGTGCAGGGCAACAAAAGACCCAGCCAATCAGCTGGGACTTGGGAGGCAGAGAATAGATGGGGCGGGGCCAGTCAGAGGTGGTATTCCAAACTACTCAAAATTTCCACTACTGGTTCTGCAGAACGGATCAGAACCTACTGAATACCACCTCTGCTCAGAACCCTTGTACCATATGTTTCAAAAATCCTAGAGTACCAAGAAACTACAGAGGATTGGAAAAGAGCTGAGTACCTTGTTTATTCAAATGGACTTTAGATTTATTTTACAGTGAGTAAATGAGGATGATAACCGTATACTTGGGGGTACATTGGTAGGGGGTATCATTGATGCAACCACTGAAAAATCCAGATCCTATTTGGGACTAGAGATTCCTTCTTCCAGGCAGCACTCCAAAAAACCCATAGAAAAGTAACGCAAAAATTCCTTCTAACATAATGGTCAAGATATCCGTAAAGACAAATAACAAATGTATATGTTTGAACAAACAGTGTGAATTTGATTCATAATTCAGTGACAAGCCAGTGCAACTAAACCAGGAGAAATGATAGATAGTCTTACAAATAACATTGGAGAGACAGCCATATTCTGAATCACATAATGCACGTGAACAATAATCTGTTCAGAAGGTAACCAATATATGTGTCATAGAATCCAAAGTAACTTTATCCACATAAACCATCCATCGCAGCATCCCTTGATATATCTCTCACCTGAACACTTCAATCATAAGTATTATATTTCAAAGTGATTAGTACAGCTACTGAATAATAAAATGCTAAAATCCAAGGGACCAAATTTATATTGTTAAAAGTGAATTAGGAAGGTGGACAATGTTTGTGTTTGTTGTAAATCTCTATACCTATAACAAACCTAGATCTATTTCTCATTAAAACAATTAAAATAGCAAAAGTAATGACATATACCCAAAGGTAAGTATGTAAATTATAACAATCTAAATTATTTCAGTTTATTTAGGAAATATCTATGTTTATGTAGCTAAGAACAAGCTTTCTTATAAACTAAGAGTGGCAGGTTTGTTTTAAACAGCTAACCACACAGTTTGGTCTTGCATAAAATCAAGAAACTCCTACCACACCTGGAACATTCAGTTGCAAATTAATTTAACAGATGCAGAGCCATGGGTACTGGAGATTCAGACCACAGAGCTTCCTACATCTCTCCTGGCAAGCTTGGTAAAGCAAATGGCCAGGAAGAAAATGCTTCCAAATTTCAGAGATATTGCTGGGAACAGACAAAAAGCAAATAATTACCTCATTAACATGCTTGATTTGTGTAATTACCACACAATTATCACAATATGCAAAGTACATTAGTTGCATATTGCACATACATTTAACAGATTAACAGAGTTGGAAGGGACCTTATAGGTCATCTCGTCCTACCCCCTGTCCAAGCAGGAGATCCTACATCATTTCTGACAAATGGCAGTGCAATCTCTTCTTGAAAGACTCCAGTGATTAAGCTCCCATGACTTCCGAAGGCAAGCTGTTCCATTGGTTGATTGTTCTCACTGTCAAAAAAATTTATCCTTATTTCTATGTTGACTCTCTCCTTGATCAATTTCAATCCATTCTTCCTTGTCTGACCTTTGGGTGCCTTGGAAAACAGTTTGACATCTTACTTTCTGTGGCAGCTATTGGAACACTGCTATCATGTCTCCCCTGGTTCTTCTCTTCACCAGACTAGCCATGCCCAGTTCCTGTAACCATTCTTCATATGTTTTAGTCTCCAGTCCTCTAATCATCCTGCCTGCACTTCTCTGAACTTTTTCTAGAGTCTCAACATCTTTTTTGTAGTGTGGTGACCAAAACTGGATGCAGTACTCTAGGTGTAGTCTTACTAAGGATTTATAGAGTGGTATTAGCAGGGGTGGGATTCTACTGGTTCGTACCAGTTCTATAGAACCAGTTGTTAATGTTCCCGGTAGTTCTTAGAACCGGTAAAACGGACCCCTGGCTGGCCCTGCCCCTCTCCACCTGCTTCTCTGCTCAAAAACCCAGTTTTTCTTATTGTGCATGTGCAACATTTTGCGCGCATGCATGCCAATCCTTGCCTCATTCTCCCCCGCCCACCCCTCCCTTCACGGCCCAGTTATTCAATATTGTGCATGCGTGACATTGCGCACATGCGCAACAATCGGGGAGAGCATTCTCCCCTGCCACCAGTCTCGCTCCTCAGTTCCCGGCCCAGTCAGCCTTTATTACGCATGCGCGACATCGTGCGCATGCGTAACAATAGCTGATTGCATTCTCCCCCACCTGCCCTGTCACTACTTATAGTGCATGTGCGCTACCTACAAATGTTTTCCTGCCCGGCGCCATCGCTCCCACCAGCAACAACAGCAGCAGCAGCAGCAGCAGCAGCCGAGCCAGCCAGCCAGCCAGCCAGTCGTCGCTGCCTTCCTTCTGCCACCCTGCTGGGTGACTGAGGGCAAGCCGCAAGCCCCAGTCGCCACCGTATCTAGCCACCCTTGCCCGCCCGGCCTGCCTCCCAGGCCCTGCCTTGCCTGGCCTGCCTCCCAGGCCTGCCTTGCCTGGACCGCCTGCTTCGCCCAGATTACGTCCCCCAGCCTCCGAAGATGTGGATTGGTGAGTAAAACTTCCAACCTAGTTGCCTACCTGCCGCCACCAGCCCCGGTCGAGTGCCAACTCCCGGGACACCCACCGCCCTTGCCGACACTGCCTGCCACACCTGCCGCCATCTTCCCTTGCCCACAGACCTCCATTGTTGCTGCCTTGCCTTCCCACCACTAATTGGTGAGTGAGGAGGCAAAGGTAGCAAGCCCCGCTGGTCCCCTACCTCCTCCTGCCACCACTACTGCCAGCCCCAGTCAAGTGCCGACTCCCAGGCCGCCCCAGCTGCCCTTGCTACCAGCCTTGGCCAGCTGGTAGCCGCCATCTTTGGCCAGCCGCCATCTTGGCTAAGCCAGTGCCATCTTCACCCGCCCATAGCCCACTGCACCATTGTTGCTGCCTTGCCTTCTCACCACCAGTTGGTGAGTGAGGAGGCAAGGCAGCAAGCCCTGCCGGTCGCCGACCTTCTCCTGCTGCCGCCACTGCCAGCTCCGGTCAAGTGCCGACTCCCAGGCCGGCTGCCCAGCCGTCCTCGCCACAGCAAGCTCGAAGAAGACTGAGGAGGACCCCGGTGTAGCTGGCTAGCCAAGTTGCCTGCCTCATTTTTGGTAAGTTGCTTTTTTATTTATGTATTTATTCACTTTTTTAGTATCTGTTTTGGCTTTTATTAATAAAAAAAACAAAACAGATACTAAAGAAATAAATACATAAATAAAAATTATTTTACTATTTTACTATAAAAATTATTTTACTATTCATCTTGATACTTGTGTGTTTCTCCTTTGCTTTTTACTATTAGGAAAAAGCAAAGCAAAAACAAGTATCAATATATAACAACAGCAATGTAACAAAAACATTTCCATACATAAAAAGCAAAAGCAAAGCAGAAACATAAATATCAGCAGTGTAAATAAATACAGCAGTGTAACAGGAAAATTATTTAAATTTCTTTGTATTGGCTTATTTCTAATTTGTTAATTATATCAACATGTTTATAATTATCAACCTTCTGTATTTAATTCATACATAGCAATGATCATTCTCCACCTAATTTCTACTCTTATCTCTATCCGTTTCTGCACATTGTAATTTTTTAATTTCATTTTCATCTATGGGGATCTCTTCATTTTTCCACTGTTGTGCAAACATAATTCTAGCCACTGTTAACACGTGTAACATTAAATATGTATTGTACTCTCTTTATTTATGTGGGTACCAATAAAAATATTTCTGGTTTTAAAATTTAAATCTATATGTTGCTTTACCATTTTTGCTAACCTTGACACTACATCCTCTTGAACAGCTACACTAGCAGAGCCCAATACTGAATTCATATATTCCAGTTTTTTAAACTGAGGAATAATGACTGTTACTGATCGTTGATGTAAGTCTGTTACTGAACTGTTTTTTGATACTGGACTTTGATATTTGGATTATCCCTGAACTGAAACCTGACTGCTTTACCTGTGAATGACTTGGACTGCTTATCTTGGACTTTGCTTAAATGTTTATTGGAAATAAAAACTTACATTTACTGTACAGTGTATCTGTGTGCTGTGTGTGTGTTATTCTTCACTACTCTCACTACGTCTCCCTGTATGCGCTCATTCTCCTAACGGGGAATTACCTCAACAGTACTATTATCTTTTTTGGGGTACTATATATATCTGCATAAGATTGTAAAAAGCTTCAGTACATTTTTAAGCTGCATTCTAAAAAGGTTAGGTGACCAAACATGGCTTCCCCTGGCTTCTCTCTCTCTGCTATAGAGAGAGCATTCAGTTAGGGACTGTTGGTCCAGGTAAGTAGTCTTGGCTAGGAAAGATTTTTGTGCCACTATTGGCACAAAATAACAAACTCCTTTGGTTTGTTAATAATATTTCCATTTTAAGTGCTCTTTTTCAGTTAATGAATTGTAATTATGAAAATATCAACCATTCTTTTATATACACAGTGCAACATCTTTTTTATAGACAGTCATTTTCAAATCCATTTTCAGTTCCATCTCAGTCTTGTCTAGTGAAACTTGTTCCTCTTCCATAACATCTTTTAAACACTAACTAGCTATAGTATCAGGGACTTTTAAAAGTAACTGAATATTACTGATCTCTGTTCCTCGCCTGCTTTCTTCGCTTGCCACTGCCTTCACCACTCAACTTACAACAACAATCGAGTCCAAACCAGTACATTGTTGATATTTTTTTTGCAGCATATTACCAAGATGAAAAGGCAAATGAGTTTGTCTGCTTTCTTCGGCAAGAAAACAAAAGGAGTTCCAAAAGAGACACAACCACAACCATTGGAGTCTGAGGATAGTGGTGCCAGAGGAAAGAGCCAGCACATCATCCACACTGCAAACAGAGGAAAGAGCCAACACATCATCCACACCACGACCAGAGGAAAAAGGCAGCACATCATCCACACTACGACCAGAGGAAAGAGCCAGCACGTCATCCACATCTCAACCAGGGGAAAGCAGTGCCAGCACATCATCAGGTACTAGAAGAACTGAATCAGACATTGAAAGGGACCTTCCTGACTGCTGGACACTGCAGCAGTACAATAATTTTAGGGAAAAATATGATGGACTTGGAAGTTTCCCAGAAAAAAATAGGTTGCAAGTATTGCAGAAGAATTGAAATTACAACCAAAGAAAAAAGTGTCCACGGAGCTAAGGAATGGAAGAATTACAAATTGAACCATCAGGATAAAGTAAAAAAATACAAGCTTTCCACAGGACTGGAGAAGATGACTGAGAAATATCTGGGTAGTACATGTAGAGCGTTTACTACAGTGTATAGTCTGGTACAAACGTGCAGATGATTTTCATATACAGAAGATCTAACTGAATTACAAATAACAAATGGTTTAGATTTGGGAACAGGGTTGCATTCACGTAAAACTGCTGTTGCAATAGTAGATTTCATTGCAAAAGACATCAGGAAACATTTATTTAGCAAAATTTCCAAACAATTTGAGATTGAAATTATAAAAATTGGCAGAGTTTTTGGACCAAGATGGGCTGCCTGTAGTTTAAGATCAACCCTAGCTGTGTGGTGGGCTTATCCAGTGCTACATCAGTTTTTTTGTTCAAATAAAAAATACTCTGGTATGGCTGCCCATCTTGAAAATACATATTTTCTCACTGATTTGGCCTTGATGACTGATCTCCTAGATGAAATATCTCTTCTTTCTAAAGCATTGCAAGCGAGAAACATAGACATTATGAAGGCTGAAAAACTTGTGATAAGATCAATTAGATCATTTGAAATGCTTATGGAGGAAAAGGGTGCATATGAAAAAAGGTTGATGAATTACTTCAGAAATTAGGCCACGCCCACAGAACCAGTCAGTGGTCCCTGGGATCTAAAATTATGAGTCTGGTGGTCCCTGAGGTCCAAAAGGTTGGCGACCCCTGTTCTAGTCCAACCTCCAGCTCAGGCAAGAAAACTGAGGATGCCAAATTCTGAGTAGAAATCCTGGGAAAGGTGTCAGAATAACAGAATAACACTTAGAAGGGACCTTGTGATGAACCCTATATCATTTCAGAAAAATGGCTGTCCAGTCTTGTCTTAAAAACTTCCATTGACTGAGCACCCAGAACTTCTGGAGACAAGCAGTTTCACTGGTTAATTGTTTTCACTGTCAGGAAGTTTCTCCTTAGTTTTAGGTTGCTTTTCTCTGTTCAGTTTCCATCCATTGCTTCTTGTTTGCATTCTGCTTCTTTGGAAAATGAATTCTTTGTCCCCCTTTCTTTGTGGTAGCCCCTTAAAAGCCTGTTGCCTATCACACTCTTGGGTAAAGCATGTGAGCCATTTCCTCCTTTCAGAGGTCCATGAAAGTACATCTATAGTATGCATATAATAAAGTCAAAAAAGGTGAACAACGTTTTTACAGAACTATAGATAAGTTGAGGCTGGGTGACAAGGAGGGGAGGGGCCAGGTGAGGCACCCCTTAATGTGAGTGACATTGAGCTAGCCATGCCCACCTAGTCACATGACCACCAAGCACACCCACCCAGTCACATGACCACCAAGAAACGCCCACCAAATAAGCCATGCCCACAGAACCGGTAGTAAAAATGTTTGAATCCCACCATTGCTAGAGATATTATTAAAACTATTGCAGTCAGTTCAGCAGAAGCAGAAAGGGGCTTTTCACAGATGAACATAATATGTTCAGAGGACAGAAGTCGCCTTACAGTTTCCAATATTACAAACCTCCTGACCATCAGTCTAATTGGCTTACCTCTGCAAGAATGGGACCCTGTTCCTATAGTAAAGAAGTGGTTATGGGCACATCACACAGCTGGTGATGCTCGTGTTAAACACAAGAAAACTGTAACTCAGGACGATAATAGAAAAGCAATTTGGCAGTACTTTAATAAGTTTTATTGTTTTTTGTAAAGTTTTGTTATATAATAGTTTTTGATTAATATTTTAAAATGTTGTAACAATATAGTTTGTGTATCTTTTTTACTATTTAAGCATTAAAGGCATGACATAATAAACTACCTTTTGTTTTGGTATATCTTTTTTTAGTACTTAGTCATTAGGGCAAAGGAGTGATGTTGAGTTGGCCTCGTCCAACCCTCTGCAGCCCTCTTCATAGCTCCCTGAGCTGCCCAGGCCTTGCCTTGTCCTCCCCGTAGCTGCCTGGGCCTCTCCTTGCCCTCCCCATAGCTCCTTGTAGCTGCCTGGGCCTTGCCCTGCCCTCCCCGTAGCTGCCTGGGCCTCACCTTGCCCTCCTTGTAGCTCCTGTAGCTGCCTCGGCCTCGCCTTGCCCTCCTTGTAGCTCCCCGTAGCTGCACAGGTCTCACCTTGCCCTCCTCGTAATTCCCTGTAGCTGCCCGGGCCTTGCCTTGCCCTCCCCATAGCTGCCCGGGCCTCGCCTTGCCTTGCTCTCCCTGTAGCTCACCATAGCTGCCCAGGCCTCGCCTTGCCCTCACCATAGCTCTTCAGGCCTCGCCCAGTCCTCCTCGTAGCTCCCTAGGCCTCACCCTGCTCTCCGTGGGCCTCCCCATAGCTCACTGGGCCTCGCCCTGCCCTCTCGAGGGCTCCCCAGGACTTGGAAACTAGCAAAAAACAGAAAACCTCAGTCACAAGACTGTGTGGGATGTTGTAACTGGTCGTATGTGTGTGTGCATGTGCATGTATGTGTGTGCATCACTGTCAAAACACCAAAACAAGTCAAGTAGCTCTGTGGAGGTCAGTCATAAATTAGAACACTTGCTAAGCAACTGGCCATTAAGCAAGGACCACTTATATTTGGTTTGCCAGTCACATGGCCACCCAGCC